ATCTATATTACTGTATTTTATATTATTGCTTTGATAGATAGATAGATAGATAGATAGATAGATAGATAGATAGATAGATAGTATCGAACAAGAAAACATATTTGCATAAATATATCATTCTTTTTTTTTATGATTTATTAATTTATTTTAATTCAAATCTATGCTATATCCCACTATAAGGCACTAGACATGTTTTTTTTACGGAGAATGCACACCTCTGTTTGTCTTCCTCTCCTGCAGTGGAGATCGTGTCCCATTCCTGGATTGGGAGTTCAGTCTGCCTCGCTGCTGTAAGAACCTTCGACTCTGTCTTCGATAGGTGTCCTGACTGATTCGCTGACGTCCCTTAGGATGGATGCTCTGGGCATTGCGTATGGTAGACCTGTTGGCCAAAATAAATTTTGTAAATTATGATCAACCAAAGTGTTCCGTTATTGTTAGCTCGTGAACAAAGGCCTCCTGTAGCGAATCGATGCGTTTTTGTAAGAAAAATATCCATATTCAAAACGTAATAATCACTTTAATGTACCTTGCGCCAACAGTTGTACACGGAAGCAGTTCCGGGCGGACACTGTTGGCGCAAGCTACATTAAAGTGATTATCACGTTTTGAATATGGATATTTTTCTTACAAAAACGCATCGATTCGCTACAGGAGGCCTTTGTTCACCCCCCAGGAACCGTGTGAGACACTTTTTTATTATGGATAGGCGCTTTTTATTTAACTTCTTTTGGACAGATGCATGCAACACCTGCTGAGTGGCATTAACCAGCTTGAAAGTTCAAAGACAATTTTTTGATATAACTCCGACTGGATTCGTCTGAAAGAAGAAAGTCATATACACCTAGGATGGCTCTGGGGTGAGTAAAAAACAGCCTAATTTTCATTTCTGGGTGAACTAACCCTTTAAATCTAGTGGTTCTGTTGTGTTTGTGTCGCAAGTTCAGTGACGCAGGTAGTGACGATTCTCTTCGGCCAATCAGTGATCAGCAGAGTTTACACATCACATTTTGGTAACGGTACGGTTCACTTGGAACCTCAACCGAGGTGGTACTAAAAAAAGTACCAGGTACCAGGTACTGTACCCAGTGGAAACCCCCCCAAAAGTGAACCGTACTGAACCGTACCGTGCCGTACCATGCAGTGGAAAAGCGCCATATGTGTTGCGTTTCATAGACATATTGCTCTACCTTCTGGGTGGTGGTGTTGCTCTTCTGACCACCTCCTTCTCCGCATCCACCTCTTTCCTCTCTCCCGTCCTGCACAGGAACAAGGATGGGTAGAAGCCCGTATCTTCTCCTTTCCTGTATAAGACATTTGGGAATCTGATTCAATTATGACTCATCAAATGACTGCAAGCATTTCGATTGTTTCAAAACACCATCAGGTTAAATTTAGAGAGGATGACTCATACCTGACCACCCACCACCCATCAAGAAGTTTATGGATGACCTCGATTATCTCTCCTGCCTCAAGAGTCAACTCATCCTCTTCGACAGCTTTATACCCTTTAGTGGTTTTGTAGAGCTCTCCTGGTGTGGGTAAATATCATCAGTACTATCCAAACAGCATAAATTAATAACTCCCAAAATAGTCTCATCTCATATCAGTGGCAGTATGGCAATACACACTAACCTGTGTAATTAGGCTCTGGTTCCTCTGATTCATCTGCTCCATCCAGAGGCTCTAAGTATGAAGCTGGCACCCAGCCTCTCCTGGACTCATACTGACAAAACCACCAGCCTGTAAACATCAGATCACAACACGCATCAGATCTGCTTTACCCCTTACTGATATTCGAAAATGTGGAAAGAGAGCTAAGTGAGTATGAATAGGTGCTTTTGAGTGGTTATGCAATGCAAGATTGTTCTTGTAATTTAACACATATGTGACCCTGGACCACAAAACCAGTCTTAAGTTGCACGGGTTTTAGCAATAGCCAAAAATACATTGTATGTGTCAAAATTATCAATTTTTCTTTTATGTCAAAAATCATTAAGATCATGTTCCGTGAAGATATTTTGTAAATTTCCTACCGTCAATATATCAAAACTTTTTGTTTTGATTAGTAATATGCATTGCTAAGGACTTTATTTGGACAACTTTAAAGGCGATTTTCTCAATATTTAGATTTTTTTTGCACCCTCAGATTTCAGATTTTCAAATAGTTGTATCTCAGCCAAATATTGTCCTATCCTTACGAATACCATACATCAATGGAAAGCTTATTTATTCAGCTTTCAGATGATGTATAAATCTCAATTTCGAAAAATTGACCCTTAAGACTGGTTTTGTGGTCCAGGGTCACATATTATATACACTAATGTTTACAATTTTGTGGTTGGTATTAGATATTTTTTATGTTTTTGAAAGGAGTCTCTTATGCTCACCAAGACTGCATTTATGGAATCAAAAAATGCAGTAAAAAAAAAAAGTAATATTATGAAATATTATTTAAAATTTAAAATAACTGTTTTCTATTTTATTATATAAAAGTGTTATTTATTCTTGTGATGGCAAAGCTAAAAACAAATTTTTTTATCATAATCAATGTTGAAATCAGTTGTGCTGCTTAATAATCGTATTTGATGAATAGAAAGTTTAAAAACAGAATTTAATTTAAATATTTTGTAACAAACATTTTGTATAAATGTATTTACTGTCACTTTTGATCAAATTATTCTTGTTCTTGCTGATTAAAAGTAAATAAGTATACATTTCTTTATATATAGTCATGTATATAGTAATTATATTATAATTATAATATAATTAATATTGTAATTATAATATACAATTTAATTTTCATTGTATTTAAAAATATATATAATATTATTTTGCATTAAAATAATAAATTAAATAAATTTTTAATACAGCTACATTTCACTTTCTGCTCACCATTTGGGCTTTTTTCCACAATGTCCACCATGTCTCCCATCTTTAGAGAGAGCTCATACTTTGAGCTCTTGCTATAGTCTGCAATCACTCTGTAGCTTTCAAGCATGATGGGCCCTGTGATTTCTGCACAAAGAACAACAGCTATAAAATCCTGTCGGGAAATGGCATAAGGCATTTGCAGATAAATTATATCAAAAGGAGAATTTGATCTTACCTGATGTGGTGTTGCTCCGTGCTCTGTTTGTGGACATAATGAAGGTCTCGTTTCTTTTGTATCTATAGAAAGACAAAAGTAAAAATAACGTTGTTGTCGTTTTTTTGTTGTTGTAAATACTGTATTCTGTAGCAAAAAGCACAGTTGCAGTTTTTTTATTATTATTTTATTCTTTTTTGGCCTTGTTAATTTATAGCAGGGACATGATCAGTGAACATCATGAGCAGGATTTGAACATGTATTGTCATAACCATTAAAGCATCAGAGCATGTCTATAACCACAAAGCCACAGCTCCAGCTAACTTTAGCCAGACAGACTTACGGGTGCGGTGCTGGTGGAGTTTCATCTTCAGGCCGCATTTTGAAGAAGTCACATACAAGCTGACAGCGGGAGATCTTCGGAGGCAAGTTGAGAAGGGAACGAAAGTATTCAGCAAGAGTCACCTGCCTCGTCTCTGTTGTTTTCTGGTTGTCGAGCCATTTGGGAGCTGAGAGAGATTTAATTACAGATTGTGAGATGGAACTTTACACTTTTATTGTCTTAATGTAGTATTGTCGTGTTGCACAAACTATTTTGACTTTATGATTCCAATATCTTTTTTGCCTGCTATAACTGAGTACATTTGAATGGCTGTATATGACATATTTCGAAATTCTTGTCAGTTAACTTTTATTATATATTTTTGTATATTATATAAACTACCACTACACAACACTACACACTGAGTTGTGTCACAAGTGTGAGAAATCCTTCTCTCTACTTGTAGACAACTCTGTGGTATGGTCATGTTGCACAAACTCTTTTGACCTCATGGTTACAATATCTCTCTAACTTGCATGCCACACTGGAAAGTCCAAAGAAAATGCAGCTTATCAACATCAGTCACAATATCCCCCATAAAAAAAACTAATCATTTGCAGAACTGAAACTCAAACTCAAAAAACCCAGAACAAAAAGGCATGACATGCAAATAGAATTGTTTTAACATTATGTGTTAACCACCTTTCATGACTTCTAAATTAATAAACGGACATATCTGATATGCTTGACATTAAGCAGATGTTTCCTCTTCTCATAGGACCATTGAGAACCAAAACCTATTTCTGTATTGTCTGAAAAATGAAACTTTCACTTTATGTTGACTCATTTATTGCTTGCCGTAAGTCTGTAGATGCTGTTAACTTAGTAAATCATTTATGTGATATGTTGTTTTGCTCTTTCTGAAAGTGGATCAAGTGATCTGAAGATCTGTGTTTTAATCACACAAGAATTTACCTGGTAATGTGGGAATGATTCTGTCATTTCCGTCAATGTCTCCTGCCTCAATTGGGAACATTTCCTTCAAAGCTTTCTGTAAAAAAAAAAACTTATATATATAAGCTATTTCATTTATGTTGCAGTCTGATTATATTTATGTTACAGAAAATAATTGTATACAAATATGACAGCGTGATTAGAAATGCAGGAAATGCTTGCAGTGATGAAAATGAAATCAGGTATGGAAAGGGAAATGTAACACTCTACTATACTTTCAATTGTAGAGAACTGAAAACGAGACTTACGTGAAATGTATGGATTTCTGGATAGCGTCTGTACACCAGCTTTTCAGATTGATCATTCCATTTAACCAGGAGCATGTAAACCTTAGTATATGAAAAAGAAACGATTTTATTTTGTTCTATAGCTAAAACATTCTTCAAGCATTCAAAATACTTTACAGTGTACAGTGTCTATACTTATCTTGATATTTCACCATTTTTGGAGTAGCATACTTACATAGTGCTGGCTGGGAAAGAATCTTTTCTCAAAGCCTAACATTTCCACGTGTCGCACGTAAGATTCAGCCATCCTGCACGACAGAGGTCTGACCGCGAGCTGAAGGGATGTAAGAGAGTGTGCTTTGCTCTTATGATCACCTGTGGTTTATGGAGTTATTATAGACTATGACAGTGGGAGGGGCAACCACTCGAGCACTTCCTATTCCAATCCTGGCCATCACAACCTGATGATGAAATACAGATAGGAAACTCCAGAATTAGTTATGTGTTTAACATTTTACTGTAAGTGTATTTAACTTTATTTCTGTGTGATGATTAACATATTTTGGCTGATAAAGAATATATTTACACTACACGCTATTTTGCACAATAGTACAAATTTTAATTAATAAATATGATGGAAAATAGTAAATTCATTTAATCAATCAACCAATCAAAGTAAACTAAGAAAAAACACTAGACAGATAATAAGTAAAGACCACCAAGCCCAGCCTTAGAACACCTATAAAACAATTTAGGAGCTACCTTTAAATGCAGGAAGACAAACATACAAGCGCTTTGCAGGTACACAGTGCAGCATAGAAGAAAACCTAACTATTACAGAATTGTTTAAGGAAGGGGCCCCATATATTAACTGTACAGATTTTTATCATTTTTAATCCTATTTAAGTAACTGTACTGGTCTTTCTAGACAGATGCTATAGGGAAAAAGTGGAAAATCAATTGAACAATAAAAGTAATAGATACAGTTAGTTTTGGGTAGTTCACCCAAAAAAATGGAAATTCTGTCATCATTTACTCACCCTAAATATGTTCCAAACCTGTATGCATTTCTTTTTCCTGTCGAACATAAAAGACAATATTCTGAAGAATGTTTGCAACCAAACAAGTTGCTGGAAGCCAATGACTTCCATAGCATAAAAAATAAATACTGTGGAAGTCAATGGGGACTAGAAACTGTTTGGTTATACGCACAATCTTCAAAATATCTTATTTTATGCTCAGCAGAAGAAAGAAACTTTGGAACAAATTGAAGGTGTGTAAATAATGTAAAGTAAATCATTTTTGGGTGAACTATCCCTTTTAAATGATTGTGTTAAAGACAGATCTATAAACGATATATTTCAACATATCTAAATATTTATATACACACACTTTATAGAGAGCTGGCATAACCTCTTCAAATATGTCATTGTTTTGTTAGTCGTAGTTTAGGTCATTGTTGGCTTACAGTTAATGCAGGCATTCTCTATGAGCAGTTCCTCACGTTCACATCTTTGTCTTTGGAGGTCCTTGTTTACTAAAAAAGAGAAGGAAGCAAATGTAAAAACAAACTCTTTTTCAAGTGGTCAATGCCTTTTATGGCTTATTCCTCTTTTTGATCATTAAAAATGGCTTTGTAGTTAGATATCATTGAATATTGCTAGTTGGAAACATGACTCTTATGTTGAAACACCACACTACTTCCTAAGTCATTTTATAAAAGCTTCATAATCATTTTCACATTTATTTTCCTATAGTGACAGTTTCTCAAGCTAGAAGATTTCACAGGGGATTTTGGAAGATTTGTGATGACATATGTAACCACAAACCACAAAATGCAAAAAAGTTGCCGTTTTCAAAGATATTCAAATATTATAATAGAAATAGAAAATTCGAATTGGTCTATACATTTAACATTACTCTAATATGAGCTAGAAAGGAAACCTTTAATACAATGTCAGTGTTTTTGATTTTTTTGATTCAGTACAGAATCTATATATAGAATCTATATATTCTATTAATTTTTTTTCCTCACATACATAGGTCTTTATACATAAAATTATATATATATAAATATATATATATATGTGGGTCATTAGCATCAAACAGTTTAAAAACACCTAAATTACACTATAGACATCAATTTGTCACTAGTTAATATTTAAAAATATTATGAATTAACGTATTGTAACTACAAACCATTTATTTGTTTCTAAATATGCAGTCATTTTTAGTAATGTTCAGCTTTTGAGGTACGATACAAGGCAAATTTATTTTAAAAAATAAAAATAAAAATACTGCTATTCATGAGCACCTTAATGAAGATTCCTTGTGAATCATGCTAAAGATATAGAGACATTTTTCAAAAGGTAACCACATAAAATGATAAAAAAGTAAACATCTGGCTCTGAGTCATTTTTGAAGTCCCATCAAATGTGGAAGAAGTGAAGAAATTTGTGAAAGACTCGTGGTCTGCTTGACTCCTTCATGGCTTTTTCACCCACATTTGACATTCTCTCATACATAAACACACGCCCACTTCTTTTGCTTTTTTGATTGATGTCTGGACTGTTTGTCTTCTAAATTCTGTAGCAAATATCTCACTGCCTCAGTCTTTCCCAGACCAGACACTGTAACTAGATACTGCTTGCATTGCTACTTTTGACTGATTACTATGAAGAATGACTAATAACCTCTAAGAACAGCTTTAATTGAGGACTATTGTGCTTTAATGACAAAAAAAAAAAAGTCTGTTATCTCATTTCCTCAAAGAACACTTTCTGAATGGCCAAATCACAGTTTATATTTTACTTACCGAATTGCAAAAGGTGTGAATCATGTGAGTAAAAAAACACTTACTTTTTTTTACTCAAAAGACAGGGACTAAAAACACTTAATGAGTTCAGTCGATAGGTCATGAGGACAAGTTGGAACAAGATTTCCTGATCCATTAAACGACAACACCATTTGATCTAAAGGTATAAAACCAACTGTAAAAATCTCTAAATAGTATTCCCATAATATTATTATGCGCCTGTCACAACATGAGGGACAGGGAGTGATCCAGCTCCAGTCTGTCTCCTGCACACTCTATCAACGCTCTTTTGTATTTTACTGTATTATTGTTTATTGTATTACTCTTATTTACTTCTATTTGTGAACCTGTAATATTTTCATACTTCAGTTACTGTTTTTGTTCTTTTCTTCATGTTATTTTGCACTACTCCATTCTTGCACAGTTTTGTATGCAGCAATGCTGCATTGCTTTGGCAATAGGAATGTACAAATATTTGTCATGCCAATAAAGCACCTAAACTGCAACTGTGTGTGTGTGTGTGTATGTGTGAGAGAGAGAGAGAGAGAGAGAGAGAGAGAGAGAGAGAGACCCATGACTGATAGGACACCAGTTACAATTCAAAAGTTAAAGTTAAATTATAGACATATTACGAATTTAATTATTTACCTGTTGAGAGTGTGTTGGTCTGTGTAGTCACAAAGAATAATTTCAGCATAATCGGGTTCTATGGTTGTTACAACGTGTAAAGAACCTTTAAAGAGTGTAGAACGTAGAAAGAAATTTTTAAAAAGTATATTTTGGACGTTTAAAACATTACTGTCAATTTATCTGATAATAACACTGTAATTTGATCAGAAAAAAAAGTCAATATTAGGTTTTTTTCTTTCGTTTAGATTTAGATCTAGATAGATTTATTTTCTTTCTCCAATAATTAAGAAAAGTAAAGGTTGACATCTTTGTCTTTGTGTTGAAAACTATCAAATATAGGGTATGTTTAGCGAAAGCATTCTTTTTTATCTACGGCTCTTTGTTGCCCTCCAGCGGACTCCACTCAACACTGCACTTAAGAACTGACGGCTCACGCACGCCGTGTAATGCGCATGCGCAGTGCAATGTGCGTCCATTAGCAGCATCGCTACTGGTTTTCAAACAGGATGAACGCGCCACCGGCATTCGAGTCCTTTTTGCTATTTGAGGGAGAAAAGAAGTAAGTGCAATACAACGCAATCTTTAATAGTAAGTGATACTAACTCAACTAACTAAAACCTGTAATGAAACAAATTCAGTCAGGTGGAATTCGGGAGTTAGACGTGCTTTGCTTGTTGACTAACGACAATTAACGTTAGTAAGTCCATCGGTAAAACAGAACATGCTAAGTATTTACCTGTTCTGTTGTACTCATTACATGACTTAATGGATACCTCACTGCGCTTTTTATTTTACAAACTATACACTAGACTCGAAAAAATAATAATTTATATTATTTAAAAAATATATTCACTCTCTCTCTATACACACACACACACACACAAACGGTTTTGGAGATAGTACCATGACATTTTTAGTATCATGTGAATAACTATAGTGTATATATCAAAGTACCATATTATCACCATCACTGTACCATAACAGTACAGTTTGTAAAGGGAAGTAATAGCATAATATTCCTGTTCTTTTACAGGATCACAATAGTTAAAGACACCAAGGTGCCACATGCATGTCTGTTCACACTGAATAAAGAGGATCACACACTGGGGAACATCATCCGGTCATAAGTGCACAAGCATCTGATGGCCAAATGTGTTGGTTTTTGTATTCAACCTATGACATGTTTCCATAAGACAACTGCTGAAGGACCCTCAGGTGCTGTTTGCTGGATATAAGGTTCCTCATCCTCTGGAGCACAAGATAGTGATCCGTGTTCAGACGACACCAGACTACAGTCCCCAAGAAGCCTTCACGAATGCCATCACTGATCTGATCAGTGAACTGTCCCTGTTGGAAGAGCGATTCAGGGTGTGTGTCATATACATAGTCTCTTTCAGTTCAGCGAGGGATGATGTGATTTGATTTATTAGTGATATTTGCTGCGGCAAGCATTACTATTATTATTGCTTATACGTACAATAAGGGATTTGAACAACCTATAACTATCAGAATCAGAATGAGCTTTATTGCCAGGTATGTTTACACATACGAGGAATTTGTTTTTGTGACAGAAGCTTCCACAGTGCAACAGAATGACCGTGACAGAACAAAAACACACATAATAAAAAATAAATAAAAAATAGAACAAGTAAATAAGGAATAAAAATATACAAATCGACAATTTTATGTACAGGTATATAACAATAGACAGTTGTATGTACTGTCTATATTATGTGCAAATTGAAATGTAGACTGAGTATGTGTGTTAGATAAATAAGTGTATGAGTGTATAAATTGTGTGTGTTCCACAGTTATTGTTAAGTGTTCATGAGATGGATTGCCTGAGGGATGCTGCCTGTCTGTCAGGAAGCTGTTGATCCACTGACAGACGGAGGTGGGCACGGAGAGCTGAGTTAGTTTGGGCAAGAGGAGGTTTGTAACGATAGTGTTAAAAGCCGAGCTGAAGTGCACGAACAGGATCCTCACATAAGTCCCTGTTCTGTCTAAATGTTGCAGAACATAATGCAGTCCCATGTTGACTACAGGCCTGTAGTCATTAAGTCCTGTAATTTTGGATTTCTTTGGGATGGGGATGATGGTGGAGCGTTTGAAGCATGAAGGGACTTTGCACAGCTCCAGTGATCTGTTGAAGATCTGTGTGAAGATGGGGGCCAGCTGGTCAGCACAGGATTTCAGACAGACTGGTGTAACACAATCTGGGCCTGGTGCTTTTTTCCTTTTCTGCTTCCGGAAGATCTAAGTTGGGAACTTCAGTGTGTAAAGGCCTGTTGGATTCGGTGCGATAATTTTATCTTGAACAAACTATTGTTAACGTGGCTTTTCAGACTGGCATAAACATTTGCATGTCATCAGTACGACATATTGACGTATTTATAAAAATCTCTTTTCCATTGCACTGAGAAGAAAACTGGCCAGCTGATAATATTAGTGCTTTTGTTCATATGCCCAGAGCTGCTGCTGTTACATAAAACTACGACTTGGTGGCACACACGAATAGAGTATTTTGCAAAGTGACGGTCAATAGCAGAGGAAGAACCTGTTATAATACTGTTATAATATTTGCTATGATTGTTAATGGTTACGTTATTTCAAGCAACAATTTTTTTTTTTTTTTTATGGTTTTAGTTTTGATTAACCCTGAATCACATACCCTGGGTGGCCTTATAATTGTTAAAAAAAGACATTTTAATTGTAGATGTTTTTATTTATATATATATATATATATATATATATATATATACAGTAAAAGATTAAGAAAACCTGCATTTTAGCTCGAGCTGCGAAATTTCTCTGCATAAAAATGGAAATATGTGTATGTAGCTGCAGCTGGCTGATGAGAGGTCTGCATTCTGAACAAAGAACAAATTAATGTGCATGGGCACATGTGAATTAGGCATTTGAATTTTCATAAGAAGTCCCCTGTGAATATAAGTACAAATGATCCACACAATTATTAGTGAATGAGAACTATTGTGTTGAGGAGTCTGTATTTTATATTCCAGAAACTGATGTGGCTTTTTTCATTTTAGGTTGCCATCAAAGACAAACAAGAAGGCATAGAATGAAGACCATCACACTCCATTGGATGACAACTAGGCTAATTCGCAATGGACTGCACAATAGTCACTCTTAAACTGGGTTTCTGTGATGGGCTACAATACTCCCATTTATTTATTTTCATTAAATATTATGAGGTCAGTTGACAAGCTCTCATAATAAATAGTAAAAGAGATTTTGAACAGCCTCTAACAACACTGAGGTTAAGATCTGTGGAGTTCCTCCACCAATTTTGATTTTCTAACAAAGCATGTTGGTATGATGAAATTATCAAATTATCTTCAACATTCTTCAAGAGTATTTCATCGCACACCAAATTTATGTACACAGAAATAATTTCCTCTTCAGTGTCCCACTCAATTGTGATGTAGTATGTAGTATATTTTTTTTGTTATTAATAAATGGGCTTTTGTAATGAAATGCGTTAGCTTGTATTTATTTGAATCTTAACATTGTGGCTGTATTGTTTCATGGGTTTGTGAAGCTCGTGGTTTTCGATTTGGGACCTTCGGTTGTTTCAAAGGGGACGCATTAAAGTGCTGAACAAATGTAGCTTGAACGCTACTGGACATGCAGAGTATTAACTGTGGTTGTAAAGGAGTAAGATCATGTCTGAGGTGCGAGGCGTTGGAGCCTAAACAACATTTACTTCAGAAGAATGAGCTGGTGAGTCAACAACACTACGAAAAGCGCTCGTCTTGAGCTGACTGTACTGTCGCCATCAGTATAGCAGTTGAACAGAGTCCTCCATTAAATTAAATCAAACCTTTTTTTCTGCCCAGACTCTGAATATTGTGCTACTACGCTAAACACACTACCGTTAAAAAATCTGTTGTTAGTGAAAAATTATTGTTTGTGAAATAATTCTCTTACACTCACCAAGGCTGCATTTATTTGATCAGAAATACAGTAAAACAGTAACGTTGTGAAATGTTATTACAATTATTTTTCTAATTTATTTAACTTGTGATGACAAAACTGTATTTTCAGCATCATTACTCCAGTCTTCAGTCTCACATGATCCTTCAGAAATCATAATGTGCTGATTTGTTGCTGAAGAAACATTATTTATTATGTTGAAAACAGTTGTGCTGCTTAATATTTTTGTGAAAACATTGATCAATTTTTTAAGGATTTCTTAAAATAAATGTCTTTACTGTCACTTTTGATCAATTTAATGCGTCCTTTTAGAAATGTTGATTTCTTTCAAAAAAAATTAAAAATACTAACCTCAGTAGTGTATTAAAAAATGATATATTCTGTTGCAGACACATGATTTCACCTATGATCCGGTGTCAAAGGCAGCAGTCGGAGAGGAGGAAAGTGGCACTCAGCAGTCCTTTACGTTTTCTGGAATATTATTGTGGGAGAATTTTGTTTCAGAAGATGAAGAGAGGGAACTGATCACCAGAATGGATCAAGATGTTTGGAGAGAATCTCAATCAGGCCGTCGAAAACAGGAGAATGAAGAAAAAAACTGAGAGAATGAACTACTAAATACATTCCTTTAACCTTTTATTCTTCAGCAGCATGATCTTTAAGTAGTTATGGAAGTCAATGAAATTTCTTAACTAAACTGCAAAAATCCTAAAAGGTGATTTAAAAGAAACAGAAAAAAGAAAACCTTATTCACGATGTCTTCTACCTATGGAAGCTTGTTTTTGCCACGCGATAAAAATCAAAAAGTTCATTGTGACTTTTTTCTCACAATTCTGACTTCATCAGAATTATTCTTAGTTTCTCAGTTAATGTGAGGTTATAAAACCTGTAAATCAGTACCATTGTAATGGCATCCAAATAACAATATATATATATATATATATATCCACAGGACTTTGGGCCAAAGGTGAGCTTCAAGAAACGTCGTGTTTGTGTGGGAAACTTCACTGGCCTGCCTGCTATGAGCCGTCACCTGGTGGACAGGATGTCAAAGGCACCTCAGTTGGCCTCCTTCAAACCAGTAGAGCAGTGCAACCTAGACTATGATCCCCTCAGAGGCTCTGCCATTGACCCTCACTTAGATGATAGTTGGCTGTGGGGAGAGCACCTGGTCACCATTAACCTGCTCTCAGACACTGTCCTCACGATGAGTTTAGATCGAGGCTGGGGAGACATGGACGATGGGGAGGTGAGAGTAGCCGTGCATTCACCACGCAGATCACTGATTGTACTCTATGGAGAGGCACGTCACCGGTGGAAACATGGCATCCACAGGCGCAGAGTGTGCAGCACCTTCCAGGAGCTGTCTGAGGAGTTTCTAAAGGGAGGAGAGCAGGAGAAACTGGGCTCAGAGTTGCTAGATATATATATAAAATATATATATATAAGCTGCCTTTGCTTTGATATGTGAATGTATATACTGTTTTCTTTACAAACAACAGTAAACTGATTATTTTTAACTCTTAATAAATTAATATTCTTTTATTTTGTGTTGTTATTCTGTGTGAATGAATAAAGGATATTATATGAGCTACAATAATATCGAACTAGTTTTTTTTTCTTGAAATATACATCCATGATTTAATGATTCCCTTATATATTTAGAGCAAACAGAAATTGCTCTAAATATATATATTTAAAAAAAAAAAATTGTTGGTCGAAAACATGATTATGAAACCATGCCCTTCATAATTTAATCCAAGAGGTCTTATGATTCAGCAAAGATGCCATTATTTGTGAGCCTTTTACATTAAAACATTAAATGTATAACTTTTTTAAATATTTTTGATTTGGTATCAGTGGTTCTCAACCCTTTTGGCTCCTGTATTAAAAGGCCCTCATCTAAGCTGATATGTACCTCTGCTTCTTCTGCTGTAATAAAAACAAAAACTCAAAATATGATGTCATTTTAATGTGGCACATCTTAATTTGTAAGCTTTTTAATTTAGATTATATTAATATAATTACATTAAATAACTTAAGACTTATTGGGGCCCCTTGGAAATTTGCCCACTAGTTGAGAACCACTGGTTTATATTTATAAGTGTGCTTGAATTTTTTTCCCCCAGTAACTGCCATAGATATGAATATAAATATCTATGGCAGGAATCCTCAAATCTGGCCCACAGGATCCACTTTCCTGCAGAGTTTAGCTCTAACCCTAATCAAACACACCTGAGCATGCTAATCAATGTCTTCAGGATCATTAGGAAATCGCAGGTAGGTGAATTTGATCAGGGTTGGAGCTAAACTCTGCAGCGCATTGGCCCTCGGCAAGATTTGAGGAACCCTGATCTATGGTAACTGCATCCTCAAATTTTCTGACTACACTGCCACACTCAATATGGCGGAATGGTGACGCCAAAACCAAACTTTACGTCAAAGACGGTCAAAGTTCATTTGTATTTTCCCGGGAGAACGATCTGCCGTTCTAATCCACGTGACTGCGAGTACTATATATTTAAAGATCTCTTGCTCCGCATGTACAGTACATTAGAGGTAAGCTGTGTAAATCGATTTAAACCCAATACATTTGTCTGTAAAACTTTCATTTAATAAACCTAAGTGCAACCGCACAATGAACATGCTATAACATGCAGTTACGAATTTAGCAGTCAGTTGTTGTAAGCACTTAATAAATACGTTACGTTATAAAGAAAATATGCACAACATTTAAATATCTTCGTCGTTGTGCTTTCAAAATTGCTTTTAGCGTCATTTTACTAATTTACTTTTACTTTTTTATTAATTTATAATAATTGGTTTCGGAATTATAACCACGCAGTTTCTTTGCTTACTTAGCCCTTTCCAGTATTATCAGGATGCAAATTATGTTTCTCTCTAGTCTCTACAAAAGTTTCACGGCGATCTCCTGTGTTCAGAGCCCCTATAGGGCGTGAATAGGCCACTTGTCCTGTATCATTACATAACAATACCAGATACCTTGTGGTTCTGACACCTAAACAACCAATAGCAAGAGTTTGACTACGTCTCTGAAACCCGTTATCAATACAGCCCACCTTTATAAGGTCTGATTAGACACAATACTCAACTTTTCACTGTGCAGCCATGGAGAAGATAACAGAGACGATACTAATGGAGAAGAGCTCTCCAAAGACAAACAAATTGGAACAGATCAAGATCCTCAAGTAAGAAAGTCATTTTTGTGTTTCCTAGGCATACAGCGGTGTGTTATGGTTTTAAATAATAGAAAATACTATTTTAATGCCCTTATGTTAAAAACTGAATTGTTTAAAAATATTGCTCTGATGTACTCATGTAATCTGTTCTGCACAGTCTCTCACGTATGGGTCTGAAGGGCGAGGATCTGCCTGTGCCTCTGCTATCGAAACTGTGTAGTCTGGAGCAGTTGGATTTGTCTGGGAACATGCTGCAGGAGATTCCCAAAGGCCTCTGTCTGCCCTCCCTGAAGATCCTTAACTGCTCAAACAATGATATGGAGGATGTAGTGTCACTGGAAGCCCTGAGAAACGTAGAGGAACTTCGACTAGAGGACAACCTCTACCTCACAGTGAGAATCATGCTCTGAAATTCAATCCTCACGTTTTAATCACAGTTTTTTTTAATCAATAGCATCTTTAGTGGCATTTTAGACTCTGTGGGTCTTGTTGTGTCTATGAATTGTTTTATGTGTTTGTTTGTTTTTTAGGTCAATGATGAACACAAAGTGATCTTCCTGTTACCTAAACTGAGGATGTTCAATGGGAAGGATATCAGCTCTACGGCCCATCATATTCGCCATGGCAGCACCGAGATCCTCAGGAAGAGGGTGAGAACTGACTCTTCCACTTGTCACATTCAACCATTGACCACAGCGAAAACAGTTTGTCTGTGCGATGTGTCTTAAATATGCTTTTTTTTTGGTAACTTTTAGGTGATTGGTGTGTGGGAACGAAGCTTCAGTCTCCCTGATCCCATTACAGCACAAAGTCTGGCTGCTGTAGAGAAGCGATTTGTTCATGCTGCCTGCACCCAAATCAAATATGGTCCAAATTCCTTGAGTGAATACACAAAGTGGAGGGTGGGTACTCTAGCGTGAATATTGTGTTTAGTGGTCCTGACATAGATTTTGAATTCATAAGAGACTTCACTCGGATGGTCATATGTCCTCTTTTTCCCAGACATGTCCTGGCCCAGTTTCTAATTGCCTAATGGGTTTTAGCTTTATTTTCCTATTGTGGGGAAGTTGTGGCCTAGTGGTTAGAGAGTCGGACTCGTACCCAAAGGTTGCGGGTTCGAGTCTCGTACCGGCAGGGATTGTAGGTGGGGGGAGTGAATGTACAGTGCTCTCTTCCACCTTCAATACCACGACTGAGGCGCCCTTGAGCAAGGCACCGAACCCCCAACTGCTCCCCAGGTGCTGTAGCAATAAATGCAGAGCACTAATTCCGAGTATGGGTCACCATACTTGGACACATGTCACGTCACTTTCACTTTTTTCACTTTCACTATTGACATGCTCTCTACAATTCTCATACTATATATGTATATGTGTTTGCATTCCTTTGAGCGTTCTCTGTAGATCCCTTCTTGGACACCACGATTGGTCGCTTATGTACAATGCCAGCACACTTTTGGTCAAATTGCTACTGAACTACTACAGCAAGTTTGAAAACAAAGTCAAAACCCTGACATTTTAGGCAGTTTAGAAATCCTGGCCAGCACATGTCCAGGAAAAAGACGTATGAAAAAGATGTATGGTCACCTTACTTAAATTTGGTTGCATTTCACCTCATTCCGTTTATGCTTCTTTTTTTTTTTAGGTTGAAATGATTGCAAAGGAGTATTTGAAGTCACTGACATGCAGTGATGGAGGCAAAATCACAGACACAACTCCAACAAAGGAAAATGAGGTAAAGCCATCGGCGTCATTTTGTTGAGTGTCATATTTGATACATCAGGCTTGTGTGGTTCATTATAGTATGATTATAGGAGAATTTGGAGCTTTAAACACTTATTTTGTTCAGTGGCCCAAATTGAGCAAAAATTTATATTCTGGTGCAGTTTCTGATATGTATTATGTCCAAAAAGCATGATCAAATTCTGATATCTTGTAATGTAAATCAATGTGATCTTTATAAGAACACAGCAGATTACTTGCATAAAATGCATATAAATATCAGTTGTTACTCTAAATGTCCCAGTAATGTCTGAGTAAGAATATTTAAATGTTTTCTGATCAAAGCTTATTGTGGGGGCAAAACATAAAATGCATTGAAATACAATAATGATTGAGAGATGTACAAATAAACATTCCTGATGTATCATATTAAATACTCGTATATTTTTACTTTTTTTTTTTTCTAAAATATTGTGTAATCAAGTAAACCTAAGTTGCTTCAGTCCAGTAAGTGTTCATCTTGAAATATTACTCATTTTATTTTTAGAATTATACTAAAAGGCCCTAAAAAAGTATCAAATTCAATCAGACGACAGAAGGCATGTAGAAGATTGTGTACAACAGGTTTTTAAACAAAGTTTAGAAATGTGCATGCCAGATATGATACAGTAGGCTTCATACGGCTAAAATGCTTTCTCCCATCCCAACTTAAGGCTGTATCGAGGGAACCTTTTCAAAACATTTATAACGCTATCAATTTTTTTTTTTTTTTACACCACACAGACTCCTGCAGAGAGAAGAACTCGTGATCTTGGTGGTAACAGTGTCACAAGTCCTCAGAAAAGAACCAGAAACAACTCCGAGGTGGCCGCAGAGGCCAGTCCACGAAAGTCGAGTCGCCTGGCGAGTGCAGCTCCAGTTGAGGCTAGTCCACGAAAATGCACACGAGTGACGAGCACTCCACAGAAAACTGACCCTATAATGTCCAGCCCCAGAAAGCACGCCAGAATGACCAATGTAGGCACCCCAGAGGGTAGTCCAAGGAATTCAAGCCGCCTGGAAAATTTTTCTCAGAAAGGTGCTAGCAAAACCGAAAGCCCCAGAAAGGCAGCTAAGCCAGTCATCTCTACGCCCACATCAAGACCATCTAAAGGTGAGAGCCCGAGGAAAACGGCTAAAGATCAGACCACGGCTCAACAGAGCAAACCGAAAACTGCCAAAACAGAACACAACACACCTCGGAAAACTGCCAGTGCCAAACTCAAAGTTACTCAGGTGAGTCAAAGGCATTTTTTTCTGTATGTATTGACAATGCATACAGTGACTTGAATATACATCTATGACAAGAAACTAACAATGTACTGAATTCATATTCAGATGTTTTTTGGAAGCATGAAATAAAAAAGTCAAGATAAGGAAGTCATAATAGAGGAAAAAAAAGGCTCAGAAGGATGCAATTCTTGAAAACCTTATTATGTAGTTTAATCATAATCTTTTATTGTTATTTCAGTAAAAAAAAATTTGGACACTCTTATTTTTTGGCCTGAAAC